ATATGCCACTTTAGAGTATATTGATGGAACACCTGGAAAGCTAACAGCTCTGCGAACGTCTGAGTTTTAGATTCTCAGCACATCATGACCACTAGATAGAGCCAAGGGGCCTAGGAATGCTCCTCTAAATCCACCCCTATGTGTGACTATTCCCAATTCCCTGCATGGCATAGGTGTCAGTTCTGTGGGCAGCCATACATACAGCAAGCCATACACCAAGTCCCTATGAACAGGAAAAGATGCATTATTCTGGGTGTCTGGTTTAGGATACGAGCTAATTTGCATATCAGCAGTCCTCTAGTATAAAAACTCAAGGCAATTTTTAATAAGGTATATCTATAGATGTACACAGTTCTGCCACCAGTAAATGGCTCAGTGCTTCATTGTAACAGTAGCAGAAAACACAACGACATGCAATAGCCTTTCTCCTGTAGTCTCTGCCATTGTGTACAGAGCAGCACTGTATAATATGAATAGTACCTTCTGTTGCTGGGAACAGGCTGTCCCCCTCGCTCTTTGTCTCGGCTAATTTTCCTGTGCTCAGGAGCACCTCGGCAAAGCTTTCCTGGGAACTGTGCTGGTATGTCGTGTATGAAGCTCCACCCTGATGTAAGACAGCAAGCAAAAGAAACAGGAAAGATTAATCCATGTACAGGTACAATACCAGCAGTCATTTCCAGAAAGACAACTACAGGATATGGTGATCACATACAACTTACCAGAACGACACATGATAACATGTACGATCTGAAAACTAGACAGCTTAGGGGCATCGTACACACATTAGATATTCATTGACTTTACTAAAACATTGGCAATTGTGTGCTATAAATTAAGAAAAGTAACGCCATGTGCCCGAGACAGTTAATTATATCACAGACACAGCTGATTGCTCTAAAAATAAATTGGGGTAATTCAAAGCATGATCTCCGTGCTGTGGAACTGAAATAGTTTAGAAATCACTTTTACTTTGTACATTCATAACACCATTGTAAGTAATCAATAGTGATTCTTTTATTGGCTTTTTCTTCATTTTTCTTTCACCTAGTGATCCGTAGGTAACACACTTCCTGTCCTAGGGTGACAACTCACCGCATTGTACCCATGAAGGAGCAGCATTGTGACATTGTGAACTATCACTTGTGACATTGTGAACTATCACTTGTGACATTGTGAACTATCACTCACCATACTGTAACCATGAAGGATCAGAGGGTTCAACGCTCACTCCCGGTACTGTACACATGAAGGAACAGCACTGGCAATGCTCACTCACCGTACTGTAACCATGAAGGAGCAGAGGGGTCAACACTCACTCACGGTACTGTGCACATGAAGGAACAACACTGGCAATGCTCACTCACCGTACTGTAACCATGAAGGAGCAGCGGGGTTAACACTCACTCAGCGTACTGTACCCTTGAAGGAGCAGCTTTATCAACGCTCACTCACCATACTGTAACCATGATGGGACAGCATTGTCAACAATCACTCACTGTACTGTAACCATGAAGGAGCAGCGTTGTCAATGCTCACTCACTGTACTGTGCCCATGAAGGAGCAGCGTTGTCAAGGCTCACTCCCCATACTGTGCCCATGAAGGAGCAGCGTTGTCAAGGCTCACTCCCCATACTGTGCCCATGAAGGAGCAGCGTTGTCAAGGCTCACTCCCCATACTGTGCCCATGAAGGAGCAGCGTTGTCAAGGCTCACTCCCCATACTGTGCCCATGAAGGAGCAGCGTTGTCAAGGCTCACTCCCCATACTGTGCCCATGAAGGAGCAGCGTTGTCAAGGCTCACTCCCCATACTGTGCCCATGAAGGAGCAGCGTTGTCAAGGCTCACTCCCCATACTGTGCCCATGAAGGAGCAGCGTTGTCAAGGCTCACTCCCCATACTGTGCCCATGAAGGAGCAGCGTTGTCAAGGCTCACTCCCCATACTGTGCCCATGAAGGAGCAGCGTTGTCAAGGCTCACTCCCCATACTGTGCCCATGAAGGAGCAGCGTTGTCAAGGCTCACTCCCCATACTGTGCCCATGAAGGAGCAGCGTTGTCAAGGCTCACTCCCCATACTGTGCCCATGAAGGAGCAGCGTTGTCAAGGCTCACTCCCCATACTGTGCCCATGAAGGAGCAGCGTTGTCAAGGCTCACTCCCCATACTGTGCCCATGAAGGAGCAGCGTTGTCAAGGCTCACTCCCCATACTGTGCCCATGAAGGAGCAGCGTTGTCAAGGCTCACTCCCCATACTGTGCCCATGAAGGAGCAGCGTTGTCAAGGCTCACTCCCCATACTGTGCCCATGAAGGAGCAGCGTTGTCAAGGCTCACTCCCCATACTGTGCCCATGAAGGAGCAGCGTTGTCAAGGCTCACTCCCCATACTGTGCCCATGAAGGAGCAGCGTTGTCAAGGCTCACTCCCCATACTGTGCCCATGAAGGAGCAGCGTTGTCAAGGCTCACTCCCCATACTGTGCCCATGAAGGAGCAGCGTTGTCAAGGCTCACTCCCCATACTGTGCCCATGAAGGAGCAGCGTTGTCAAGGCTCACTCCCCATACTGTGCCCATGAAGGAGCAGCGTTGTCAAGGCTCACTCCCCATACTGTGCCCATGAAGGAGCAGCGTTGTCAAGGCTCACTCCCCATACTGTGCCCATGAAGGAGCAGCGTTGTCAAGGCTCACTCCCCATACTGTGCCCATGAAGGAGCAGCGTTGTCAAGGCTCACTCCCCATACTGTGCCCATGAAGGAGCAGCGTTGTCAAGGCTCACTCCCCATACTGTGCCCATGAAGGAGCAGCGTTGTCAAGGCTCACTCCCCATACTGTGCCCATGAAGGAGCAGCGTTGTCAAGGCTCACTCCCCATACTGTGCCCATGAAGGAGCAGCGTTGTCAAGGCTCACTCCCCATACTGTGCCCATGAAGGAGCAGCGTTGTCAAGGCTCACTCCCCATACTGTGCCCATGAAGGAGCAGCGTTGTCAAGGCTCACTCCCCATACTGTGCCCATGAAGGAGCAGCGTTGTCAAGGCTCACTCCCCATACTGTGCCCATGAAGGAGCAGCGTTGTCAAGGCTCACTCCCCATACTGTGCCCATGAAGGAGCAGCGTTGTCAAGGCTCACTCACCATACTGGACCCATGAAGGAGCAGCGGTGTCAATGCTCACTCACTGTATTGTGCCCATGAAGGAGCAGCGTTATCAAGGCTCACTCACCATACTGTACCCATGAAGGAGCAGCGTTGTCAAGGCTCACTCACCATACTGTACCTATGAAGGAGCAGCGTTGTCAATGCTCACTCACCATACTGTACCCATGAAGGAGCAGCCTTGTCAATGCTCACTCACCATACTGGACCCATGAAGGAGCAGCCTTGTCAATGCTCACTCACCATACTGGACCCATGAAGGGGCAGCATTGTCAAGGCTCACTCACCATACTGTGCCCATGAAGGAGCAGTGTTGTCAATGCTCACTCACCATACTGGACCCATGAAGGAGCAGTGTTGTCAAGGCTCACTCACCATACTGTACCCACGAAGGAGCAGCGTTGTCAATGCTCACTCACCATACTGTGCCCATGAAGGAGCAGCGTTGTCAAGGCTCACTCACCATACTGTACCCATGAAGGAGCAGCGTTGTCAAGGCTCACTCACCATACTGTGCCCATGAAGGGGCAGCGTTGTCAAGGTTTACTCATCATACTGTACCCATGAGGGAGTAGCGGGGATTTATATGTATTTATTACAGTTCCACTTTTATGTAATGTACCAATTTATCTTTCTCCTTATCAGACTTTTGTACTTTTTTCTTTGTATTTTCGTAAAACTTATTGAATAAAAAAAAAAAAATGCCTAAAGTGACTGGAACCCAAACTTACTTTTACATACTACAAACCAGCTAAGGACTCATCCCTGGGGTGAAATGTCAGCTCTCCCTGCATCTGGAGTACCCTATATGCTCCTAGAGGTCAAGGGGGAGCTACATTTTCTTGACTGCCACTTTTCTAACAATGCAAAGATACTGAATCTTCTTTAATCGTCCAAGAATTGACTTGTGTACAGCCAATCATAAAGGGAAAGCTAACCACTAGGGTATGAATGTCCTATAAACCAGATAGGTGGCATCCACCCTTTACCTCAACAGTAGACTGCAGAAAAAGAAAGTAAAAGGCATTGCACTGTTTGCTACCTTTGAAACAGGTGCACACGAGATAAATATCGCCCCTGTTGAGCTAACAAGAAGTTTAATTCATTAATCCTTAAGACCCACTTGAAAACATTTAATTATGTTATCTAAATCAAGAGCGATAAAGGATTTTCCCTTGCTCGGTGCCTTAGATTTTATACTTACTTCAGCAATAAAAGGATTGACAATTAAAGACTCATAAAAAGGATGGCAGCCCTGATTAACTCCTGCTGCGCTCGATCCCTTGGTATCCTTTGGTGTGCCGCTCTGCTCCTGAGCCTGATCGGGCAAAGAAAACAAATAGTCAACATGTCAGTGTGGTTTTGTGATGTGCGGTACACGGTGATGTACTGCACATGCAGGTGAAGTCACGGGGCAATTTCCAACATTGTAATGCTTCAATTAAACAACAACTGCAGTCATTAAAAATAAATGGATGGCTGCGATAGAACACTAACAGTATAAAGGTGCACCAGCTATATGACTATATAAGCTATGACTAAGGCTGAGCAGGTTCTTGATGCACCGGTTGTAATTCACAGCGGGTGCTGCCGACAGCACCCTCTCGGCTGGCATCCCTTAATCAGCTGATCAAAGGAGGCGGTCGCAAAATCTTTGTATGAATACAGCCGCCAGGAGGAATCTGCTGCCTTTATTTCATTCAGCCCGCGGGTTAAACATAGTGGTCACTATGTCGCCCTGAAGGGACCCTGTGCTCCCCCGAAACGTTGGCCTGCTGACACATGTGACTTGATGTTACTTTAATAAAAATAAAATAAAAGAGGACCTGAAAATCTAGTTCAATCTGCACACCATTTCATGGCCTGCCTATGAATACATTCAGTTATCTCTAGAAGTTACACATAAATAAACTGTATTTCCACTTTTGCAGACAAATTGGGATACATCAAATCATCTCTGAATTGGTGCTGACACTGTCCTTCCTTCTGGAGGGGGGCTACTTTTGTTCCCCATGGTCTCTGTGTGTGTTGTAAAGTAGTCACCGCTCCAAGCTCACTCCTGCAATGGACTACAATATCATGTTTAGTTTATTAATTTGTATTGCGATTGTAGTCCATCACGGGAGTGAGCTTGGAGTGGTGGCTACTTCACAACACACACATGGACCATGTGGAACAAAAGTAGCCCCCCTCCAGAAGGAAGGACGGTCTCTGCACCATTTCAGAGATGATTTGAGGATATACAGCCGAGTGATACACAAATAAGATACATTTTTGTTAAGGTACCTGAATGGATTTTTAAGGTTTAACTGTTGAGTTCAGCTTCACTTTAGGGTATGTTCACACCAAGCACAGAGCAGATGCAGAAGAGAGCAGTTACAGAACACATCAAAAATGCATCCAATGTATTCCAATTGTATTTTGGGCTCTAGTTCACACCACAGCTTTCAGTTGCAGAGCATGTGGGAAAACTGCAGCATGCCCTATTTTTTCTGCTCTGGAACACACCAAAACGCATGCAAATGCATCAGAAACGCATGCAAACACCCTGGCACGCACTGGACTACATTTGAAAGCCCATTTTAGGCTAAAAAAAAGAAAGAAAAATGGACTGGGCGCATCAAAAACTTGCACTGCACTGCATATGCAGGAACTCTGCATATGCAGAAACTCATGATCATCTGGTCTGGATTTGGTGTGAACAAGCCCTTAATCTTTTAATGTTTCCACTTCTGATGACCTGTAAGAACCATCTGCTTTTTGGAAGGTTTTTCGGCTGGTTTGAACGGTGCTCGGGAGACAAATGCCGAACGGGCCGGTGTGCGCACGAGCACACTGCCCGTTCAGCATTGTGGTAATTGGAAGCCTGCCCCTCAGGGGGGAGGGCTTGCGATGATCGAGAGTATGATCTGCCTGTCCAAGATGGGCAGATCGTACGTTTTTAAAATCACTTTACAACCATCGCAAGACTAAGGTCTTGCGATGGTTGTACAGTGTATGGCCACCTTTAGACTTGAAAATGAAAGACAGAAGCTGATTGGTTGCCATGCACAGCTGCTCCAGATTTTGTCTGCTCCAGTTTCGATAAATTCCCCCCAATAGTGTTTACATAAGGGGGATACATCAAAACTGGAGCAGACAAAATCTGTGTGTGCAGCTGTGCATGGCAACCAATCAGCTCATCTCTTCATTTTGTTTAGTTAAGACCCCGTTCACACTGAGCGGTTTATTGCGTGATTTCCGCCCCAAAATCGCACATATTTCCGCTCAATGTAGCTCTTCCAATGCATTTCAATGGAGCTGTTCACATCTCACAGCTCAATGTCGCCTGTAGCTCAAGCTTGTCGCTTGAACATGACCTATTTTTCCACTGATGTCGCGTGATTTGACCCCAATAGACTCAATGGTGTCGCACAAAATTGCGCATTACCGGCATTACTACAAAAGGGTCACTTTTGCACAGCAATATGAAAGGAAATAATTATGTCACATCAAGATCACTGTTGATTGGTTACAGCCCAATGTAGCAGCGACGAAGTCCCTCCCAAAAAATGTGCTACGTAGCGAGATAAAATGTGCACTGTCGCTCAATATCGCGTAATGCCGCTCAGCACGAAATCGCGCTGAAAAACGTGCAATAGCCATGTCGCTCAGTGTGAATGGGGTCTTAAGACTCAAAAGTGAAAGAGAGAAACTGATTGGTTGTCATGCACAGCTGCTTCAGATTTTGCCTGCTCCAGTTCTGATAAATTCCCTTCATATTGTTTACACAGTGTTTAAGAAGCACTGGATATCTCTGCTTTAGATTTATACGGTGCCACCATTGGCCACTACACTGACTGTGGGGGACAGTGCGGGACAGGAAGTTGAAAGTTTGTATCTATCAGCTGCTGGCTACAAATGAGTGAACTGAACAGAAAGTGAGAGAAGAGTTGATATTTCATTCAGTAACCAACCTACTTATGATCTCCAGTAGCCCTAAATAGTGCAACTTTCATGATGTACCAGAGAAGCTTCCAGCATAATCTATCATCCTGCTGTATAATGCACAGTAATTCAGAGCGTTGTCTGTATTCTGGGCTACAGAATGATCACGGAGTTACTTCGTTGCCAAACGTGTGTCAGCTAAAAGAACAGTATGCCTGTCTGCTGAATTTCAATGTAAATTCCCAGCGAATGGGCTGATCTGCAATTAATGTTCACATTTATACTGCCTTATAAAATAGAAAGCCCTCCTATCATAGAAAGCCAAACTGAACTCTTTGGCCTCAGTGCAAAATAATGTAAAGCTGTGGAAATAGCAACTATATAGTATTATATAAGGAGGAAACTATGGCATGTTAAAGCAGAAGCGGAATAAATAAAAAAATGGCTGGGAGGTCGGGATTTTTGGCAGAAAAGATGATGCAAATGATCCGGGTGCATGTGCACAGGAGTTACATAATCAGTGGCCACCCACTGGCCAAAGAGGACTTCAAAGAACTCAGACGTGTTGGTGGCAGCGGGGGACAACGCTGAGGACTGAAGTTCAATCCAACAAATTCTGGACAAAGTAAAACTTTTAGGGCCCTGTCACACCATAAGGAGTGCGTTCGGCCTCTGGAACGGAACCCGGCCAGGTCACTTTGTTCTGGGGCAGGAGGGGGCATTTCCAGTACGATCAGCAAAAATGCTGCAAACACTATTTTTTGCAGATCGCACTGGACCGGAACGCAGGCACTAATGTGCCACGTGTTTGGGTGCCGGTGATCGCACGGCAGACGGGGGCGTGGCTGCAGTGCCCATGAGTTCAATGCACTGCCACGCCCCCCAAAAAAGGGAGCCGGCCGGGTTGCGTTCCAGAGGCTGAACGCACTGGAACGCACTCTTGATGGTGTGACAGGGCCGCAGGCCCGGCGCTACCGCAAGGCAAGTCAGGCGGCTGCCTGAGGGCGCTGCAAGGTGAGGGCGGAAAAAACAGGGCATTTTGACAAATACTTGTACTTGCCAAAATGCCCCGATGTTTGCGCTATGTTTTTTGTTTTTTTCACTTATCTTCTGTGCGGGAGAGCAGCGGCGTGTCAGCGCTGGTCCAGTGGGAGGAGCTCCAGGTGGGGTCCTAATTTAGCTGGCCGGCGACTGCCAGAGGATCCCAACACGTGCGGCACCTCAGGCAGTCGCCGGCCAGCTAAATTAGGACCCCCCCTGGAGCTCCTTGCCTGCCTTGCCTAGAATCCTAGCACCGGCCCTGCTGGGCCGTTAAGGTAAGTGTGCCATAATGTGCAAGTATGCTGTACACATTAGAGCAAAACCAAATAAAAAATCAAAGCGGTTTACTTCTGCTTTAATAATTAATTTATCGGTTTATTCTTATCTCCAAACAGCATCAACATACCTTTCATAGAAGCTACACTGTATTTTAGATCCTTTTAAAAAAAAAAAAAATTAACAAATCAAAATGCTTACATTCAGGGGACGCAGGTATGTTAGTGACTTTTTCCACCACTGTCCATCACTGACCGCATGCAACACAGCTTTAGTCGTTAGGGTTGTGTTAGTGATGACTTTCATTGTTGTGGCTGTTGTCCGATGCAGCAAATCCACAGACGGGGCAGAAGCAGCCTTTAAATCAGCCTGTAAATGTAACATAAAACAGTTCATTGACTTCCATGGACATGCATGGCAAACGTAACAGCCTGCTGACACACACTTGCAAATATCAATTATCAAATCACATGCAATATCGTTCTAACACAGGAAGCATTTAGGCCTGGTTCACACCTAGGCGTTTTTGAGTAGATGGAAAAGCGCTTTTAAACGCCCACACAAGATATCCCATGATCATGGCCCCTGTTCACACCTGAGCAGCAAAACATAAATTTCCAGAAAAGGTACATGAGCTTCTTTGGGCAGTTATCAGAGCGTTTTTGCCACATAGACTTCAATAGAAACACCCGGAAATGTGCGGCAGAAGCATGTTGCACATTTTTGTTTGTGTTTTTGTGCGTGCGTTTGTCCATTGCCCGCAATGTTTCATAAGCTGCCAGTCAAAATGTGTGTCATGTACGGGCGTACAAAACATGCGTTAAAATGTGCAAATCGCACATAAATATGCAAATAACCGCACACTGAACACGCGCAAAAACGATGCCACCTAGGTGTGAATCCAGCCTTAAAGTGCAACTAACGCCCAATTATATTTTATTTATTTGTTTAGCTTTGTATAGAGTGGAGAGGGATTAGAACACCTGTCAGGTTTTATTGCTATATGTGTCCCGATTGGGGAGATTCACCCTCTTTGTCCTGGTGACTGAAAGTGAAAGAAAATTCCACATTTTGGGTTGATGCCAGACCAGGAACATAAGGGAGATATTCCAATGAGAACACTCATTCTGGTGACCCTGCTGACCATCAGGGATTTACCTCTCTTTGGAGAGATTGACTCTCACTTCCCGTTGTGGCTATCAGACAGGAAGTAAAGGGAAATCTTCCCAATTAGACACAGATCGCAAAACAAGAGGCTGACAGGGGTTATAGCCTTTCGTTACTCTATACAAACCTAAAAAAAGTGTTGGCTTCAGTTCAACCTTAAAATAACTAAATGTCATTGGTCAATGCTTTTCCCCGGCTTCTGCGAAAAAAAGGAAAGAGAAGGGCGCCCACCCTAGTGTGGAGGGTTTTTAATGATTCTAAGTACAAATACAGAGTAAAAACATACTCACAAAAGTGGATCAATAAAAGCATAAAGATGAGCCTATGCGACTGTAGAATGGCTGCACATATGTCTGTGTGTCAGCACAGGACTCCTGGACTCCTGTGGTATCACAGGAGTCCCGTGCTGACACACAGACATATGTGCAGCAATTCTACAGTCGCATAGGCTCATCTTTATGCTTTTATTGATCCACTTTTGTGAGTATGTTTTTACTCTGTATTTGTACTTAGAATCATTAAAAACCCTCTACACTAGGGTGGGCGCCCTTCTCTTTCCTTTTTTTCGCAGTGTTTCAGCTTCCCAAGCTGAAGTGGGGCAGCACTCCTAGTTAACCTCGTTTTGTACTATTCATCTGTTGGTCGTATTTAGCGCTTTGGACTTGTTTTCACTGATTTCTCTGGCTTCTGTCTGTGATAGAAAATCAGCTAATATGCAATTCATGGACCAATTTAAAAAAAATAAAAAAACGATTTTCAGCCCACCCCTCCATCTATCATAACGATGAAGAGTATGGTAAGTAACCTCCTAGCTGCTGCTACAACTCGAAAAAAAGGCTCCTTTAGCCTGTTGTGGCACTTAAAAAAAGGATTGGCCCCAAGAAGGTCTGTTATTTTATTTATTTTTACCAATCTTTATTAATATTACACAAAATGAAACAACCATGTACAATGTAACAGTCTCAAATGATCCAAAAAAAAACAAAATCAGTTTACAGCAATAACATCCCTGAAGACGAGAACACAATGAAGGGCAAACACTAATGATGGAGCAAAGACAACTCTGACCACTGTTGTAGAAAAAAAAATGAAGGTGGTGAACCGTAGAGTTGTATTTATTGGCTTTTATTAAATGTTAAGATGGTGAAAATGGAGAGATGAATGTAAGAGAGGAGACAGACAAAGAAGACAGACAAGGAAGGTAAAAGCAAACGAGAGAGAATATAGAAAGAAGAGAATGATAAAGATCAGCTATGATGCAGAGAACAGACCGGTCCCAGATATGAGAGGCCTTAACCTTGTTATTGCACTGTAACCAGGATGATGGTAGATACTCAAATCATCTCTGAATTGGTGCTGACACTGTCCTTCCTTCTGGAAGGTGGCTACTTCTGTTCCTCATGGTCCCTCTATGTGTAATGAAGTACACATAGAGCTCCAAGCTCACTCCCATGATGGACTTCAATCTCACCAGAGACAACTCCATGTCGGGGTGTTACCCACCGGGACGTCATCACGCACACTTAACTGCCGGTCGCAATCTCGAGGAAGGAAGCCAGCAGAGAGATGAGAGGATGTTCAACTGACGGGATAAAGTATGCCGCCGGGTCCCCTTCTTTCTTGTACAGCTATTGGGCACTCAGTCCATGACTGAGTGCCCAACATATTTCAGAGGGTGTGACAACAAAATGACTGTGAGTCATTTTGGTGTCACCCCTCTGACGATGTCACCCGATGCAGGCCGTTACCCCCACACCTCCCTTGTGACGCCACTGAATCTCACGTTTAGATTACTAACTTCTATTGACCTTGTAGTCCATCACGAGAGTGAGCTTGGAGTGGTATCTACTTGACAACACACACAGAGACCATGGGGAACAAAAGTAGCCCCCCTCCAGAAGGAAGGACAGTGTCAGCACCAATTCAGAGATGATTTGAGGATCTACAGCCGAGTGATACACAAATAAGATACATTGTTGTTAATAGTTCAGGTACTTGAATGTATTTTTGAGTTTAGTGTCACTTTAAAATGGAAGCCTCCATCAAAAGTCCATGTATCAGGGTGATGACACAGGAGCACAATTTGAAGAAAGGGACACATCATTGTCAGCCTGTACCTTCACTGCAGGTTTACCAGAAATTGTTTTAATGAAAGCTGACAATTTAAATGTGAAAAACAATATGTACTTTTGGAATTACATTCACATGTAAAAGCGTATATGAGATTTTAGTGATTGGGTTGACATATACTTCAATGTTGAGTTTTTCCATTAGACAGGACTTCTTATAAAAAGAAAGATCCTGTGCTTGTCTGTGATCCTTTCATCTACAGAGGCTTTCTACAAACATGGTCAGAGGGCTCCATACACAGAGGGGTCCCACCAAGATTACCAACGTTTCCTAGAAAGTGGCACAATTGTCGGGAACCGCTTCAGCTGCGGCGTCTCAGTATACCGCAAGCTACAGCTCGCAGTATACTGAGCTTAGGGTAACGGGAGGGCGCTAGTTTGTGTCCTCCCGTTACCCTAAGTAGAACTATGGGGAAAAGCGTTAACCCCATAGTTCTCCTTTAAGAATGAAAGTCGTTATATAAATAGTTATGTTATATTTTTTCTAAAAATGAAATAAAGCCTATACAAAAAAATAAAAACAAAGGAATTTGGCGGAACAATTAGGGACCATCTGCAATCACCGCAGAGCAGCTGCAGTTGATTGAGAGTGGTATGAAAAGGACATATATCGGAGCTTTATTTTTGAAAGACTTTATTGATTTGCTTTGTAATTACACAGTCGTTTAATGTGGTGTATAGAGGACAGATAATTAATCTGATACACTGGTAGATCAACAGAGTTAAGCAGTCCCTAATAAAAGACAATGGCAGAAGGTTGTAATGATAGTATATATCTCGGGAATAAAAATGTTGATTTGTCACATAAAAATATACACCGAGCTTTAAATGAAAGATCCACCCATAAAAACTGTACAATATGGGGTTATGTGCATGTTTTGTGGTTGTAAGATGCAGAACATGTAAAGTGTGTGCTTCCCCTTCACTTCCTGTCCTGAAGAATCAATAGGAAATGAGAGGAAGTCTCACCAAAATTAGATGAATTCCCCAGTCAGACACTTGCCACTGGAACACTACTTTCCATTGAATGATCGCCCCTTATCTCATGGTCTGGTGACAACCTATGTGTAATGTCCAGCAAGCTTGTGTGTGGATCTCAACTGCAAAGTAACTCTGTGTATGGCTCAGGTCGGGGGTTCTCTGTCGCACTCTGTATAATATGAGTGAGGTCGGAACCCCTAGCACATCATGCACCACCACAAAGATGTTACCAATATAGTGGATAGCCTGTGATGTCCCTTTGGACCTCAATTGTCGTTCATTGGGGCCTGATGGGACTTCTAGTTACAGTAGTTAGACTCGTAATGCAAAGCAAACGACAATGGTAATGATTAATTGGCAGCGTAGTTGTGCTCAAATCAGGTTATCAGTTCCAGTAGCGTATAGGTATAAGGTGAGCTGCACACACAGGAGTAGAGTATAGTCTCTTTAAGCCAGTGGAGGTTATACAATAGTATCTCAGATGGGGTGTGCAGGTGGTACTTGCGATTATGGTGAGCAGCAGTGCGGATGCCGAGAGCCAATGGATTGGAGAGGAGTCCCAGCTTTGAGTCCCCTGGAGGAGGACTACAAGGTTCTGGATGGCAGAGGTGAGTGAACTAGCAACTTGCTTGACGTTCTACCTCGCTAGAACGCCGAGTAAGTGAGCCTTGTTATCTCTTATAGGAGAGGCTGGTGTGCTGGGGGAGGAGCCGTCAGCAGCGGCCCTCTCGAACGTTTCCTAGCGACGGGACACTATGGAGAGGCCGGCCTGCCACGCCCTTCACTCTGACACCGCACGTGTGTCTGAGGGCGGCGTCTGAGGGGAGGAGACCTGGAGGGAACACAGCCGGAAGGTCGCCTAGCAACCAGACGACGACGCCGCGGCTGACCGAGGGGACGGATCCCAAATCCCATTAAGACACTCTGTCTTAAAAGAGAACTATGGTCCAACCTTTTTTAGCCATAGCTCTCTCTAGGGTCACAGGAGGACACTTACTAATGTCCTCCTGTGACCCAAAACTCTACTGCCTGCTATATGCGGACAATGCAGATCAGTGCTGCATCAGGGGAAGATCCCAACAATATTGTCGG